TTAATAAATTCAATATGCGCAATTCTTAAACTATATTTAACATGCCATTAATTTTTTTATAAATCTCATATTTATATGAACTTTAATGCATAGTTTATGTTAATATTAATATTAAATCAAAGAAAGATTTTTATTCGACCACACCAGCAATGATTTATTTAGTTAATCATTAACACAATAGAAAACAAAAATTCCTCTTTCTTTTTGCTTTCCATTGTGTTAATGATTAATTAAATAAATCATGGCAAGTGTGATCGAATAAAAACCTTTCTTTGATTTTTATCTACTGGCAACTTTCAATTAAATTCGAATTATTAATATTAAATATTAATATTAATATATTAAATATTAATATTTAATATGAAACATATTTATGTGCTACATTTTACGTCATAATATTAGTACAAAAATTATCGATTATATCTATCAATTTCTGCAAAAAATATAAATCGCAGATTGATGCTTAAATTTAAATTCAGTTAAATTCACTCTTCACTTTCTATTTTTTTAAATTATTCTTTAAAATTCTCGTAGACCGTAAATCGGCTTGCTTATATTAATTTACGATTAGAGACTTTACTTTTCTCACTGAAGATCGACGATCGGTATCGATTCGCTCTGAAAAGCGCTGCTCGAGACGACGTCCTTGTCGCGGTGAGATTTGCATGATAAAAATCGGGAAAGCAATCGAAGCTTATCGGACGGGTGCCGTTCGATTCCGTTCACGATTCCATTCGCGCGACACCTTCGCGCGGCTGGCGAACTTTTTTCTATTTTCAGACCAGAACGTACGACTGACTGACTGTTAAAAGTGCAATGTCGGATTAAAATCCCGACGAGGTAATTTACGTCGTTCCGCTCGGTACGTTAATGAATTCCCTTTCAGTTTCTACCGATCGAGGATACTAAATATCTCGAGAATCTCCTCGTAGAGAAAAGTGCAAATGTGCGTTAGAATGCGTCGCGTGTCTGCACGAACTGCATTTCACTGGTATTTGCTTGGCGAGAGATGCGTGATTGCTTTCGTTACGACGGAGAGAAATAGATTTGTCATCGGCCAGTTTTGCTTTTCTCGCTGTTATTTTTCAAATACTTTGCTGAGAATTTAACGTATGCTATGAGAAACATTTAAGATATGCAATCAGACTTTAATATACTTTCGATAAGACGAGATTAATCCATGAGAATTTATATAACATACATTTTATGTGTATATGAATTTGTCTGATATACGTGACGAAATTTTTAAGTTCTCGACTCTCTGTTAGGTTTTATCTTTTTCTCCATGAACTTTTTTTTTAATTATTTTTTGAATACTTCCTGAGAATTTCACGTATACTAAGGAACATTTGAGATATGCAATCAGATTTTAATACTTTCGATAAAACCAGATTAATCCATGAGAATTTATATAATGTACATTTTCAGGGCGTCTAGCAGTCAGGGAAAAGTTAGGAAATTTATCGAGATTTTTTCACATTATTCTACATTTGTCTCAATAACTTGAAATTTTTTATTAAATAAATATAAACTTTTTTTTGACTCCCAGCACGCTAATTTTTTCTCTGTTGTTAAAAATCGATTCATCTACAGCGTGTTCGTTAATTTACATTTTCATCGTTGTGTTATTTTATTTCAATGTATTTGATAAAGACAAAACTAAAAAATTGATATAATATGAATAAAAAAGGTGATTATTTAAATAGTTTATAGTTTCGATTATCGTACAGAATGCAGATTGTATAATTGATTTAAATTTTTATTTTGACTTCCGAACATTTTCATTGTTGACAAAAATATCTCAAGAATTTCACGATTTAACATTTAATCGATTCATCATGTAGATATATGCAAATTATATATTTGGAAAAAATCATACTAAAAAGTCAGGGAAAAAATGAGTTTCTGGTCTTGGAAAATCTGAAAAAGTCAGGGAATTTTTTTCATTAAGTCTGCTGGACACCCTGTTAGGTCTTAGCTTTTTTTTCTTTTTTAATTACCATTAAGCTTTATTTTCTTCCCGGGACACAATACAGTTGTTAAACACAGGTTGAACGTGAATGAACTCCGATTGAATAATCGCTAGGCTCGTTATCAGTAACAAATATCTCATTGAATCGCCAGCTTTCTCGCGCGCCTGTTTTTCCCTTTTTATCGTCGCGGTAGACGGATCATCCATCGGGAAAGTATTTTAGTGTGACGATATTTTAGTTGACCACTCGGGCCGAAACACACAATGCTGTCACACTTATCTCGGCATGACGAATCTTCGCGACACGGTTCGGACTAGCGTGGCGAGCTTCCGCGTTTGCGCTATCATCGATACTTAATGAGATCTGAAGGACGACGAACAATTAAGATCGCCACCGAAGTAAAGTGCGCGGTCTTATTATATTTATATATTTAAAGCGTCAATCGCGATCGCGAAGGCGTGCGTTACTAATTACTAATTAGACTCGCGGATATGATTTCTGTAATCGTTGCATCGATCAATTAAACAGTGTTGTATTGTATCGTAATTGTTAATAGCTTGATCGTAGCTTAAAGAAAATAATTTGTTAAAATATCACATTTTTTAATCAGGTAATTAAATTGCACTTGCAAAAAGGAGAAATCAGATTAAAGAGAGAAAGAGAGAGTATTTAATTCGATTTAAATGCCAAAGTGCGTAATATTTCGATGCTTGGGGGCTCGAAAAGTCATATTATAAACTCTCCTGCTAACTTCAATAAATCTTGAGCTGTCATGTTACTTTCAAAAACGACTAATAACATGTTACACGCATTAATTGATCAAATAATCTTTAATATCGTATAAAATACAGAAGTTAGTTGAACTTAAGTAATTGCGACAGAATCTTATAATTAGTATAATAATTCACTGAATCTTGGAGCCGTTATTTTTCTATACACGTTTCGTAGATAAAATGTATACTTATGTAGGTATATTTAAAAATACTTAAAAAATATAATACTAATAAAATAAGAATATCGAATAATAGACAGTAAATGATTATTGTCACAATTACTATCATTGAACAATACCACATATTTCAATCCAAAATTTAAAGACACTATCGGGAGATTAGGCAGTCACCCATCGAAAGTCGGTTGTGGTTTTCGCAAGCGCGAAATACCGACATCGTTCTATAGAAAGGGAAGTGCCAAGGTAGTCAATCTATGAGAGCCAGTGAATCGTTGCTCATTGCCAAGGTACGTCAAGGTATCCGAGGCCTGGGTGTGCCTGAACGATTATTATCGAAATAGTCTCTTGTAGCGCGAGCGAAATCGAAAGGTGCAGCTACAAGGAAAGTCCGCTTTCGGGGCAGCGAATTGTATAGCATATTCCACTGGTGCTGGTCTGCTCGTACACGCGTTTGCCAAACGACTCGACGTGGCCAGTTAGAGAGCCTTGACTGGATTCCATCGTGATGTTCGCCAACCATGTTGTGATGTTTGACTACTTTGAAAAGTAGCCTTGCTTTACACCTTTTTTCTAACGTGGGAAATAAGTAGTTTTCTGTGAAATTGTCAATTATTTGATTCTTTCAAGTATTTCTTATGTGAATTAAATTTTAAAGAGTTTCAAGGAGTCTTAAAATTCTTTCAATTTTGACATTCTTGGATGCACAAGATGTAATATTTTATGATAGAAAATTATAGATAGTTTTTGTGATATAGAAAGATAATTATAATTGTCACAAAATTAGAATTCTAGAAAAATAAAATACAAAATGTTAAAAAATCATTTCTTATCCATCTCTTTATAGAATTTTTTAAATCTATTTTTTGTAAAATATTATAATAACTTAGCTTATCTCTTTCATTTTTAACATTTCGAATTTTGTAATACGCTGCATATGGATCACCAATTTTCATCAACGTCTCGAGCTTGCTCGAATTGCAGTTATTTCTTCTCAACTAAATTTATAGCGGAAGTCGTGTTTTCTCTTATTGAGTTTTCCCGAATAAACGCACATATATTATTTACATAATAGATTTGTATTCTTCGCCAGAGAGAATTTAAAAAATAATAAGAAAATTAATGATTAGTTCGACCATACTAGCTCTGATTTTTTATAATTTTAGCACTTGAAAAGGACCTAAATTTAAGGTCAAAACGTAGTGTACTTCATATCTAATAAAGACGAATAATATTAATAAGAGCCAGCATGGTCGAACTAATCATTAATTTCCTTATTATATTATTTACGTTCGTTAAAAACGAAAACCGCATCAGACAGCTATATCCTAGACCAGCTCGCGCGAGTCTCGCGCATACAGAGATGCGGAAAGAGAGAACCGAGCCTCGATCTTGGCTGGCTCACACGCGAACCCCACCTAAAACCCCTTCACCTTCGTCGACCGCGATCGGTTGCGCGCGAAATGGGGGAAAATTTCGTTTCGCGAACTCGCGCGAGCTTCGTTATCGCCGTATCGGTGCTTGTCGGACGTGTGCGACAATGAAATATTCACCGTCCCGGTATATAAAATCGAGAGGGGTTTCACACCACCCGAGATCTCTCAACCTCTTTCTCTCTCTCTCTCTCTCTTCATCCGCGAGTTCGCGTTCCACCGCCACCGTCGTCGATCTGAAAAGGAGGTGAGCGCGCGCGAAAGTGTACCATTGGATAAGAAATTGGGGTAGGAGCCAATGGTGAGGTGTGCGAAGTGGAGCGATAGGTTTTAAATAGGTGTGCAAGACCTCGTGCGTGCGATACGAAAGCAAAAGTATCGGAAGTGGCGAACCGATATAGTCGCGGTGCTGAGATCAAATTCGGGAGACAAGAGTGCGAGAGCCCCTCTTTTATTTTTCTTTTTTACACGGTGGGCGAGCTACACGACGTGGTCCCGACTCAGTCTCGTCAGTATTGTGGTGGTAGTTTCTGCTCTGGGGAAGATATACGCGAGTCCGCGGTGTGAAACGTACCGAGAGGAGTGACGGTCCTGCTGATAGAGCGGCGGCCACAAAGTACGTCTCAGTCGACGTCGAGCCAGTGCCTCAGCAAGTCCGCTCGAGGCGGTAGAGAGTCCTGAGAGAGTTCGCCTACGATCGCGTAGCCGCGTGGTTCTCTTCTTCGCCAGATCATTTGCTCTTCGCGAAAAGAGAGAACGAACGATACCCATCCTGATGATGATGTCCTACGATTATCGGGCACTCGTCGTGCTCGCGACGATCCTCGCACATATCACCGGCACGTTGGCTGTGCGCGTCTCGGGCAACAAACAGACCAGCAAGAGGAACAGCGGTGAGTCAGCTTCTGCTCTGATTCTCCTTCTATTTTTTTCCGCATCTTTGTACGCTGTTTTTCTGCTTTCGTTACCTCGTACGAGAAGAAGATCCTTTCCACCTTATCGTTACATTTGAACGCCGCGCGTTTGCGCCTTCTTCGTCTTCTTTTGCCACCTGTTTCTTTCTCCTTCGCGTATCTTCTTAGACGCGCCGGGAAGTTCATCTTCCGCGTTCCGTGATCTCTTTTTTACACTCTATTTTCTCCTCGATATATTTAACGTTATGTATCCTCTCTCTATTCTACTTCTATTCTTATTTTCTTTTACTTTCTCCTCCCACTTGCTCGCTTTTTCTTATCCTTTATTTTCTTCGATTACTCCATCTTTTTACTGTCTCTTTTTCACATTTTCTTCGGGAGTTAGAAGTTTTTTTTTTCCATTTTCTTCTTATATATATTTTGTCTTCTCCATCCTCTTTCTTATTTAAATATACTCGTAACTATATAGTGAATATATTCGTATATTTTAACTTTTATTCTTTCATTTAAATTACTTCCTCTTTTTCGCGCATTTTCCTCATTAATAGAAACTCGTCTGCTTGCTTGTACTCGGAATATAATATCAATGCAATTTTCGATTAAATATCGATGAATAAAGTGAAGTGTTAGGTTGTGCAAATGCGTGTGGATTTATGAATAGCACGCAAGTGAAACATGGTGTAGTGGCCATCGAAACACTGACGCGATTCAAGTGACAAGTTAAACGCATCAAAAAATGTAGTACAGCGTATTACAATGTGCATGTGATTATTTTGTCGCATCATGTTGATTAAAGAACAAATTTGTAAGCGAGCTCTTGAGACAGTTTTGGCTCTCGATACATCATCGAGTTATTTCTGTGTTAAAAAAAATACAGTTATAAAAGATTCTTTCAACTCGTGTTCTCAAAAAGACGGAAAAGAAACTGAGAAAAAATAGGAGAATGCAGATAATTCATATTAATATGTATTATCGTGAATTTTAAACAGTATAGTTACTTTTATTCATTTAGTTTTTTTTCTATATTAGTATTATTTTTAAGCGAGAACTTTGAGATATATTGTAGCAGTTTTCGGAATATTTTTTCATAGTGATATTTTGATTGAGGAATTATCACACTGGATTTCTGTGTAAAATTATTTATAACAATTTTTACGTCAGTTAAATCCATACACAAAAATATTAACTTTGCTGATCTGTTCGTTTACTATATAAAATTAATAAATATTTTTATATAGAAGTTTCATATATTTTTTAAATTAAATATATTTATGATTTTAATTTTATCGCGTATAGAATAAAATATACAAGGTGTCCCGAAATTTGCGAATCAAAATACCGTAGCGAGAAAATTCTCGAAAAAATTTTAAAATTAAAAAAGTATTTGTTATTTTTCATTCGACACAGTTAGTTTTTGAGATAAAATGTTTAAAACTGTCTAATTATAAATTACAATACAGAAATATAAAATGCGTGGTCATTAACACTATCGACGCGCGACTCATAATTGCGTTCGTTTCATAATTGGCTAGATTTAAATATTTCATGTGTTCAAACATTATGTGATAACAGTTAATATAGTACGTTTAAAATGTAAATACATCATACTATACACGTGACAATTATTAAATGTACTGTATTGACTGTAATTAACTGTAATATCACATAGTGATAACAGTTAATATAGTACGTTTATATTTTAAATGCTTAACTGTTATCACATAATGTGTGATAACAGTTTTTAATTTTTTATCATATACAAAGTCCACAAATATTTAACATATTTTACAATATTCCATAAAATTTCCTATTTGTTTCTTGTAACGACAATAAATCACTTCTGAATAGGCAAAATAACATATGAGATACGTAATGCTACACCGTTACTATGTCCAGCTCTGTCAAGCAGCTTCTCCGCGATTTGAGCTGAGAAATTATGAAGATTTGATTTTCAAGTTAAACAGTACTCGCGACATAAATTCGTTGAAAAATGACACTTCCGCAAAGATTTGGGTCGATGGCCGATTTTCAAACAATGCCTTAATCCTTCGTAAAGACCAATTTAACTCGAGTCGTAACCGTGAAATGTAACAGATGCCCGATGATCACCGCCTATGAAAATAATTGCTGTAATTACAGTAAGCGTAACTAATCATACTATATACGTGGCAATTATTTTTGTAATCCGCAGCCGTTGAAGATTCCTCGCGTTCCAGCTAGGATTGAGATCCACATTTCGTTTCTCTCATACTAGATATACTACAAGTTCTGCTTTCGGTTTCTAACGCGATCGATCGTAAAGAAAATCGAAAATTCGATATGTTCTACCTCTGCAATATAAAATCATCAGGCATCGATAATGCGGCCTTGCGTATCAATTATAATTAACCGATAGAGATTGGTCATGATAGAAAATTGTAGAGAGAAAGTAGCGAATTCTTTTTGCGAACATCTCTTTAGTAAGACGTGAATTCCAGCACGTTTAATATAAGGTGAAATGGTAATCATCAATCATCTGTGATAACAGTATATATTTTGTATATATATAATTAAACTTGTAAAAATAAATGACCGTTTATCGTAATTATAATACTCGCTTAAATAATGCAAAGAAAAGTGAAGTCAATTTTATCGATTGAAAATAAGAACTGTTTTACATGAAACGGTGTTAATATGGAAATTAAGTGGTAAATTATTGCGAGGAAAAATTTTCTAGAGTAAAAAATAGATCACTGAATACTTGCAGGAATTAATGAGAATTATGTAAATAAGAGATCTGTGTTTATAGATTTCACGATTTATTATTCAATTTTGAGAAAGTAAGTCTGAAATACACACAAGTATATTATTATATATGACATTAATATTTATGCAATAATTTATAACAGAGATTAAAATATTTGAGATTGTGGAAGATTAAATGCTCAAGTTTTTTATGAACTTGAATGCAAGAAAAATATTTTGAGGAGTAACTGTGCCACTTTAAATCGATTCTAACATTTCGGATATTAATGTATCAATGTTTATTCGACAATCTTGAGTGTAACGAATATCAAAAATTTAATTAAACTTTAGAGAAAATTTTACACGCCATTAATCTCAATCTGATTTTAAATTGTCGCAGAGAGTTTAGCTGCGAATAAAATCGTGACCAAAACATGTCGGTTTTTCTCATCGACCTGCCCCAATATAATAATTTATTGCTTCGTTTGGGTTCAGTGACCCGATCTACTCCTTTCGATAATTAAGCGCAACACATCTCATACATTTGGCTAAATAGAGCGGCTCGAATTGATTCGAACGGCAAATCGTACATCCTAAATTGGTTCAATTCGGTTGCTGCGGAATTTAAACGACGACGATCGACTAGTAATCGTTTCCAATCTAGAATCCGGATGTGCTTCCGTTCTGCGAAACACTCGCTTGACATATCAGAATTTCACAGATTTTTACGGCTTTTGCTTTTAGATTTGAGATCGATTAAGCCATGCGCATCTCTCACGTTCACATAAATTCCTGTGTTCTGTCATTAATTATATACTAAACATCAAATTTATTTTTACATATATTTACCTATTTTTGTTTCCTTAAATTTATCATACTTTTTATATTTTTATTTATTTTAATTTATCAGAAGAAAATTATTTAAATTATACATAAGAGTCAATATACTTAGTCCAAGTTTTTACAGCCTTGCTTTAAACAGAAATAAAAATAGACTCGGTTTTCTCGATTAAGCCATGCACATCTCTCACGTTCACATAAATTCCTGTGTTCTGTCATTAATTACTAAACATCAAATTTACTTTTACATATATTTACCTATTTTTGTTTCCTTAAATTTATCACACTTTTTATATTCTTATTTATTTAAATTTATCAGAAGAAAATTCTTTAAATTATACATAAGAGTCAATAAACTTAGTCCAAGTTTTTACAGCCTTGCTTTAAACAGAAATAAAAATAGACTCGGTTTTCTCGATTAAGCCATGCGCATCTCTCACGTTCACATAAATTCCTGTGTTCTGTCATTAATTACTAAACATCAAATTTACTTTTACATATATTTACCTATTTTTGTTTCCTTAAATTTATCATACTTTTTATATTTTTATTTATTTAAATTTATCAGAAGAAAATTCTTTAAATTATATATAAGAGTCAATAAACTTAGTCCAAGTTTTTACAGCCTTGCTTTAAACAGAAATAAAAATAGACTCGGTTTTTTTCTTCGCGTATCTTTTTACTGCCTGTCAGACTTGCGCGGACAGACGTGTATCATGAACCTTTCGACGCGATCGGAACGAGTTTGACGCGGAGAATCGCGAGTGTTTTCCAGTGTAGCGCCTTCATCGTTGGCATTGCCACCAGAAATGGCTTTTCAACGTGCGACTGGCGGCATGCCAGTGCATATAACAGTTCAGCGTGGACTAGCTAAGTAACTTGCTCACCTACATGCAGCAGCCGTTCACACGCCGCGAGATCCTTCCGCTCGTGCGTTCGTTATCGCCTCACGTTGCCACCGTCGCACTATTGCTTGGCTGGTATATAGCACGTACGACGAAGCCGGACACTGTCTATGCCTCGGATTGTCCGAAAGAAATCGATCGATTTCTTTGCGAGGATATGCGAAAATTTTTAGATGCGTGTCAAGTGACTTTAGTATTAAGATTTATCGAGATAAATTTATAAACTTATTGAAAGATTTATATTTTTGTATTTATACATGGGGAATTTTCTCTTAGAAATTGTCCTGAAAATCATGGTAATCATGAACAATATGGTACTGGAAGAATTTTATAAGAATTCCTCTGATTAATATTTATCACAATAAAAAAATATTAATATGTACATACTAAATTTTAGTATGTACGAAGTAAATTTTAGTATGTACATAGTAAAATTGATCGAACATGTTTTATATTTTATTGTAGTACATATTACTATTTTTATTGTGGTAAATATTAATCAGAGATTCT